TGAAACTGGGCCGCCCTCTTGAAAGACCAATGCCTCCTTACATTGGGCACATGCACTAACCACTAGGGTACCGATGTCCCGACGTTTGAAGCATGTGTGAGCCTCTGAGTGAAACATAAACAAGCTGCATCTCAGGAACGAGTCCTCTGTGCGAGGGCTGTAAACACAGAGCTCAGAACAACAAACCCAGAGGGAGTTTGACTTCACTCTCAATCTCAAGTCATTCCCCCACAATAAAATTACATGAGCTATATTTTATTTTTCAAAGTTTAGGCTCCAAAAAGACAGTCTACAGACCAATGGTTGACCCCCCAGTGTCTCGGTCCACATCCGGTAAACGGTATATCGTTAAACATTTGCTAAACACAAGTGTTTGATTTAAGTCCCATACTTGTGTGATTTCTCACACCTCTGACGGAAACTCATATGCAGTCATTACAAGTTTATTTTGGACACATTACACTCCTTCATTACGCGCTCCTTATTGCAACATCACTCAGACTTGGTACATAATGATGTGAGAAGTGTCTTCCTCATTCCATTAAAACGACGGACAACATCTGATGCCAGATTTCCCTCCGCAGTCAGCTGTGACATAATGGCCTCATCACTGTGCTCTCCTCTCTCTCGGCAGCGTTGAGCTCATTTCTTTTCACACTCTAACAGATCCCATTAATCATGAAATCATCATCGTGCCCCCTGGACATTATTCACACTGAATTCTGTTAACAAAAGGTCTTTGATACAGTTAGACCACACGCTTCACCTTTAAAGGAGACTTTGGTGGCTTCCCTCTCCCGTTAAGCTTTCTTAAACATCAAGTCTCTTACTAGTCTCTAAAAGCACATGAATGATTTTTCCTTTTTGTCCGAACCTCCATTAGCTCTTTGTGTTTGGTTTTGCACTGGAAAGTTTTCACCTTCTCTTTGTGATACCAGTCCTCGTTAAGCCTGTGCATCTTAAGGCCCTGACACACCAAGCAGACGGCAACGAACCACTCGTATTATAGGTAGCCTACTAATGGAGAATAATGTCTGATAAAAAGTAAAAATGGCGCTGGTCTTTTAGTGGAAAAAGAAAAGAAGACAAATAAGGAGAAACCGCCCTAATGGGTGACAGCATGGATACTACAGCAGCATGCTCAAGGGGCTTTACAGAACCTGAGAGCTGGAGAGAAATGAAACCTCTGTACAGCCAATCAGAGAGATCCCTCTTACCAATCGCCCACGCCGATTCAATATGTCGAATCAGCCAAAATGGGGGCCGACTAGTATAGCGACAGAGCCGCAAAAACTAGGGGGACGACTGCCCGACAATCTCCTTTGGTGTGTCAGGGCCTTAAGATATTTTAATAATGCTTACCTGTAACTGACTTTTTATGCTCATGATACTGTCTTCCATACATACTTCATATTACTCTAATCAACACTTTTGCACTTACATGTCAAAGAATATTCCATGTGTCAGGGCATGTTGCATAAACTGTTGTTGCACTTCACACACAGTATTCATTGATAAGTAGTCTGCGGAAACAATCCCCAGCTGAGTAATCAAGACTCACTTAGTGGATAGGTTGACTACATGTTTGGAGAATCCTTGTCACCAATTTAGCTGAATAACTTTTTTATGCATAATGTTATGCATAATTATGGAAGTGACCGATCTGACTGCAAGCTGGTGTGTTGTAGCTGTTTGTCAGGAAGCGTAAGTCTTGCCTAAGCACCACTAGTTTGCCGGTGTCTATGGTTGACCGTTTGCTTGTGACTGCATTTCCAACATGGCCACCACCATAATTGGGCATCAAAACTGTGCTCCAAAAACCAATGGGTGATGTCACTGAGACTATGTCCATGTTTTGTGCAGTCTTTGTTTGCTAACCAAGCTAACACTAAGTACTAAACATTTTCTGTTCCTTTGCCCCCGCTCCTGCCCAGACTTCTCATCCGATAATGGCCCATTGTGGCTCTAAAAGGAGCAGACAGAAATTACCAAAATGCAAAATTCAGGATGAATTACACTTTAAAAAAAAAAAAAAAAACTGATTATGAAGGCTGCTCAACAGCTCATTGTTGGCCTTTTAAAAGTACGACTAAAGATCTGAACTTCCTGACACTAATACAAGAGCACTCGATCGCCTCTTTTAGAAACTACCATTAAAAACCAAGAGCGCTGACATTGTTGCCGTGCCACCAGAGATGACGCTCTCTCACATGCACACGCAGATTGTACTGTGTCACTGAGTTCGACATCGTGAAAATGTGATTAAACACGTGGTGACAGAGAGCAAGAGACAGGGTAGAAGCAGAGCCGAAAAGGGACAATTATTACCTGTGATTTCACAGCTCAGCAAGCTGTGTGTGTGTGGACGTGTGCGTGTGAGTGTGTTATGTATGCATGTGTGTGTGTGTGGTTAATCCATAACTCGGGTCAGGTCTCGCAGGAGAGCCAAACTGCTCTCTCTGATGGCCTCTGCATTTTTCATCCTCCAGCCTTTCAATTATTCACGGAGGAAAAACATCGCACTCCGAAAACACTCCCCCCCTCTCTCTCTCTCTCTCTCTCTCACACACACACACACACACACACACACACACTTTTGCTTACTCTCCACCCTTTCATCTCTCACTCCATCCCTCCTCTCCTTCTCTTTTTCACCCCTCCTCCCCCCCCCCCTCCTGCTGTGTCCCTCAATCTAAAAGCATGGCTACGTGTGACCTATCTGCTCACCCAAGTAAGAGGACACATGTAGAGAGAGAGGGAGACAAGAGAGAGAGAGAGAGAGGGAGAGAGAGAGAGAGAGAGAGAGGGCGAGCAACTAGGGCGTACTTTAACTAAACACACACTGACACACACCCTCATACACATTCATTTATCCAGCGCCTTTTTTACTGCCACACCTAATCAAATCGATCCCTATTGTCTCGACCTGTTGGAGGCAGACCAAGAGTACGAGTGTGTGTGTGTGTGTGTGTGTGTGTGTGTGTGTGTGTGTGTGTGTGTGTGTGTGTGTGTGTGTGTGTGTGTGCGTAATTCAATCACTTTCACCTTCCTTGAGGATCACAGAGATGCTGTAGCTGAAGTAGTCGAGCAATTGAGGCATAAGATCTCTCTAAGTGGTGGGATGTAGTGCAACAGGAGTAATTCTATATATTTCCTGAAGTGTGTGTGTGTGTGTGTGTGTGTGTGTGTGTGTGTGTGTGTGTGTGTTGGTGGAAAACACACTCCACACAGTCCCCTCTGACAGCGTGTCGATGGCAGTGATTGTCTTAGAGGTTTTTTTTCTTAGTTTAAGCCTGAAAAATACATGAGGACCTCTCCCCGGGCACTGCGTTCAATCAGAGGGGGTCAATAGCAATCGGATGGGTGTCGCGCTAAAACGGCCCCCCGTGCATCAGGCGCTGACAGCAAAGGTTCCGCATTTATCGTCTTTGCCTTGTCAGTGACACGGGATGCGTCTGGATCGATGATTAGTGGTGAATATTTTATGGGAGCGATCGTGTGTCAGGACAGCGGAGGGCTGATTCTGGTATAAGTGCTCTACTAACATCTGACACCAACGAAGAAGAAGAATATAGTGTTAAGAGGGCTTTAAAGGGAATGAAGTGGAACTGAATAACAAACTTTATCTTCAGAGGGCAAAAAAAGTTTGTGCTGGATCATTTTTCTAAGTCACTTTCGATTTTGAAAGTAGCATTCCCTCTGTGCTCCCTCAAAAGCCACGCCCCTCACTTACATGCACGAGCGCCGTTGCTCCAGAAGACGACCTCAGCTCATCTCTTGCATTGTGTAGAAACTACGTCGTCTCATGTCTCATTCAGCGGTAAGTAAACTCACAGTATAAAATCTGTCATCGGTGACACACTTTGAGTGTGAGCTAGAGCACGTAAGGGGTAAAGAACGAGCAGGGAGACAGGGAGGCGTGTGATTGGTTCATCAGATTGGTACCTCGTGGCAGACATTGGTCAAAGTTTTTACAGACTTACAAACTGATACAGATGACGGATTTTCTTCGTTCCTATTTCAGAGAACATGAGTTATTAATTTCTGTCAGGACCTAAAGGCAATTTCAACCAGAATCTTAAAAAAGTGGATCTGGAGGAAATTACCAACTAGTTAATCCTGATTAATCTCATGCTGTTTTTTTCTCTTCAGGCTCCCCGTAGATAAGTGTCTCCCTGTAGTCTCAGTGATGTAAAAGAAGGACACTGCTGCATCTTTGAATGTCTCATTTCACTTTAACAAACTCTCAAACCAGTCCAAAGTAATATCCACCTGATGACATCACACATTGACCTATCTTACCTTTCCTTTGGGCTGTTTGACGTCAGTTTGGGATCCCTGACCACTTCCTGTTTCAGTGCTTAACTTCCTGTCCTAACCTTTCATCTAAAGGAAGGGCCTTACTTTATTTCAAAATAAAAGCATGGTTGAATTCAAACATGTAAAGAAGCTAAAGAAGGCAGAAACATTTGAAATAAAAGTTGAACAATTTTTAGTTTCGAACGTGAAATAAAGGAATTTCAAATATGTTAATAAAATGCGATCAAGAACGTTTGAAATTAAGCAAGTAATCACAATTAAAATGTTTAATCTTTGACAGCCCCTACAAAAATTGATGTGGTAATATATATGCAAATAATGTTTCCACCTGGCTTAAAAGGGAAGTCAGAGATTACTTTAATCTTTTCTCACACACAAAAAACCGCACCATGTTCTTAAATGATCTCAGGAAAAAATGTTGTATATTATTTCCCATAATCCTTTGCAAGAAAAACAGGAAGATGGTAGCGAAATCAACATTTTTTTTTCACCTGTTTTGGAGTCATAAACATCAGAGACAAAACCTTAAAAGTTGAGTGTTTTCTGTAAATTTCCCCCATATTTAAAGTTCTAACCAAAAGCAACAACAGTGTTTTAATATGTTATTAGCTGATGGAGAGTCGCAGCGCTCTGAGCTCACTCGAGCCTCTGAAACAGAAAATTCTAAAACACTGACTGACCTTTGGCAAGGCGTACTTGGGAAACCTCATCTGGACGAACTCGTTACGCCGATAGGACACAAAGTGCTTGGTGCGATTCCCTGTAGTGACCTGGAAAATGATGAAAAATAGAATTAACCACAGAGTCAACTTTTTTTTATTTTTATACCGTTCTCCAAAAGTTTCCAACACATTTTGTGCGACTAGTTTCTGATCTCTACATAAGTCCATCTTAGCGTGGACACAATAACATCAGAAAAAATAATAATCAAATGAATGTATCCTAACTTTGAGTTTAGTTCATTGTGTGGTATATTTTAGTCAGCATGAACAATTTCTCTCCAACAAGAAAACACCGTCCAACATCAGTGTGTCCGACATCACTGTGCCCGACATCACTGTGCCCGACATCACTGTGCCCGACATCACTGTGCCCGACATCACTGTGCCCGACATCACTGTGCCCGACATCACTGTGCCCGACATCACTGTGTCCGACATCACTGTGTCCGACATCACTGTGCCCGACATCACTGTGCCCGACATCACTGTGTCCGACATCACTGTGCCCGACATCACTGTGCCCGACATCACTGTGCCCGACATCACTGTGTCCGACATCACTGTGCCCGACATCACTGTGCCCGACATCACTGTGCCCGACATCACTGTGTCCGACATCACTGTGCCCGACATCACTGTGCCCGACATCACTGTGTCCGACATCACTGTGTCCGACATCACTGTGTCCGACATCACTGTGCCCGACATCACTGTGCCCGACATCACTGTGTCCGACATCACTGTGTCCGACATCACCGCAGGCCTGTTCGAACGGTCTCCCCCCTCTGATTATGAAAGAAACGTTGGCAGGAAATACAGTATATCTGATGACCTCCAGCTGACGGGAAGTTTTTGATATGATTTAGCTGCTGGTATGCTTGTGATTAATCGTGATTCTGAGTGTGTGAGAGAGAGTGAGAGAGAGAGCGTTTTCGCCCGTGTGTGTACTTCTTTTTGAGCTTAGCATAACAGACAACTGAAATACACATTATCTAACTTCAACCCCAATATGTGCTATTTTTCTTTTGACAATTGTCAACGCTCTGTCCTGATTTACCCCATACAATGTGAGCTCTCAGGTCAGTCAGGTCGTCCAGTGTGAGCGCATAAATCATGAGCTGTGGTCGTGCATCATAAACAATCAGCCGTACGGTGTGAGCCGACGTCTTACCAAGACTCTTTTTTTTTTTTTCAAAAATCATACAGTGGACGGCAGCTTGAGGCCACAAAAACAGGGCACCATAACGTATATATTGAGGACTACACATAACAAGTCCACAAGCAAAAGACGTATTTCCAAAAACATGAGGCAGTCAATCGACTAGTGTGCAGCCAGTGGAGGAGCAGAGTTCACCATCTGCTTTTTGTGACTCACAATTTGCTGGTAAATAAAAAACAGGGAAAAAAAAACACCCCGTGCTGCACAGACTTTGGCATTCACCTCTCAAAGTGGGACCTTTATGGGTGAATCATGCTGCCCTCCTGCTGAGCGAGCTGATCAGAGACGCTCACAGGGTGCTGAACCAGAATACACAAACAGCCGAGGCGTCGCTTTAGCAGAGGAAGCTGGGTGACAGAGACAGCGCCTGGTGACTGACAGCGGCTTAAACAAGAAGTGAAACATGTCACATCCTGAGTGAAGGCTTCTGAAACACACTCCCTGTCACCGCCTTTTGTGAGGTGAGTGGCGCTTTAACTTTCAGAGCTGCTGCTTTGAAAAACCTGACGTGAAAAACTTTCTATTCAGCGTTTCTATTTTCGTCTTTGTGGGAAAAGCTTTTTTTTTTTTTTTTTCTCCTCATCCGCTCTTGGATATCTGAGCCGGTATGGTGTGTGTGTTTCAGATTGAGCTGTGATTACAACCACGGTCTGTGATTGAAAGGAGAAGACCGGCATGGCGTGTTGTAAATGCTGAACAGTGATGAAAAAGTGATGAAACAATGAAAGTCGGTTTTTAGGGGTAAGATCCCCTGAAGGAAGCGCTATCAGTGCGTTTTCAAAAGGCAGCGCTTTCTGAAGAACGGCTGAGGGAGGAGACAGAGTGTGTGTGCGAGTACCTCGATGAGACAGCGTTATGAGCTCTGACGCTGCAAAAACCTGTCTTAAAGGAAAAATTGGGTATTTAGAATCTGCTCCTTTTCTTCCACATTGTGCATTGAGTAGATGATGACGTAGATTTAAAGAGTTGTGGACCTGCTCCAGTAGATCAGCCCAGCCACATATTCCTCCGGGGCGATACCAGACGAGCAAGAGAAGTTCAGTTGGAGTGCGTGTTTTTGCCACTGACAGGTTCGTCTGTTATTCCAAGTGTCTGACAACGTTACAGAGAGAGAGATAGTTCTTCTTTGGCAAAGAGTCAAACCCTTACTTCTCACGGAAACAGCCGTAACATCCTTGTCTTTCAGTACAAGCAGACTCCTTTGATGAAAACAGGATTTTTTTATCTCACAGAATGCAGGACGGTGATGATGTGGCGCGGCTTTGAGGAGTCTTTTTTTTTTGTGTGTTTGGTTTTGGTTATTGTTTGTTTCGCAAACGTTGTGTTGGATCCTAACCAGGGTGAAAGTAGTTTGGGATTTTTGGGGTGACCAGTGGGCTAGTGGTTAGCTTGCGCACCCCACGTACAGAGGCTGTAGTCCTCGAAGTGGGCGGCCCGGCCTGTGGCTCCTCTACTGCATGACATTCCCCCTCTCTCTCTCTCTCTCTCTCTCTCTCTCTCTCTCTCTCTCTCTCTCTCTGTCCCTGATATCAGACTCTATCCACTCTCCTGTCTCTAAAACAAAGGCACAAAAGGCACAAAAATAAATCTTCAGTGCTTGTTAGTTAGCTTAGTTTTCACTATTCCTTCCTTTTATTTCCTTACACATTCTGCATTAAAATATAAAATCTTGAACACAGGGGTCTGCATTTTCAGCATGTGAAGGGTTTCTGTTTGTAGTACATTTGTAGACCGAGCTGTATTGACCAAGACACCAGACTTTGGTGTGTGCAGGAAAAACAGTCGGTATGGACAGAAAAAAACTAACAATTCAGTAGTATTCTGATGATGATTAATTTGTCTCTAAACTCAGATATCTTCATCAAAGCGTGGCCAACAATCCATTTAAGATCAAACATTTCAACTGATCCACAAACACTGCTTGACTTTTCACTTTTTACAAAATCTGCATCATGATGTTAATTTCTTGTTAATCACAAGATTCTTTCAGGGCTCACACCTCTGAGGGGAGCCGGAGTGAAGCTGCTGTATAACTTACTGTTGAACTGAGACTCACAGAAAGAGATGAGCGAGCGCTATCCTGGGATGTTACCGACCAAGAAATGAAACGCCACACAGAAAAGGAAGTTGGATCACGCTAACCTCCGGGATCACTTGAATTACTGAGATGTTTGGACGCGTTCTCAGAGGCATGTATCGTCTATCAGACGATGATAGACGATGATTGTTGATGGGTTTGGAGATTGCTTTCTCGCAACTTTCAACCTCACGCCGAGATGCCAGACAAGGACGGATTGAGAAGAACAGATGGCTGATGTCACCATACTGTCATCTGTTGGTTTAATAAAAGCCCCGGCTAAAAAAACTGGAAGATTGATTTAATATCTACCCAACATACTCTGCACGTGTAGGAAATAGAGTGAAAAAGAAAACCTACAAATGTTCTCTATCATCATTTATCATCTATCATTTTAGAATAATAATAATAATAGTAGCAATCCCCAAAAGGACGACTTTAAGGGGGCTTGTAGAGGTGACGCAACGAGTGTGAAAAACTGAATTAGTGGATCCAATAGAAAGACAGAAAAAGAATCAGCTAGGAATTTAACATGAACAGGAATATAAAGGATAAAAGGTGGATCCCTGCTGCTGCTTGGGAAGTGATGAGGAAACAATTAGAGCTTAAAAAATGTCCACACATCAGTCCCACGTTGGTTTCCAGTGGGTCAGTCATACTGGGCGAACTGTGAGGATTATCCCTGGAGGATAATGGAGCAGCCCATTGTTTCCTAATGAGGATTTAATTCCTCTCACACACACACACACACACTCATATACACACACTTCCTGTATCCCACCACTCCTTAGGGATTCCTCTCTGCTCTGTCAGCTGATGTGCATTCTGCAGTTATCACATGCAAATAGGATGCAGCGATGGGCCTGCTCAGAGTGTACAGTACTGTACTGCATGGCAAGTCCATTATAGACAAGGCCAGATTAATTCTGCACAACGTCCCGAATACAAACTCTTTTACATTTCAGGCCCGCATCGCTGTGCGTTATCTGAGCCGCCGAGTTTATCAGTGACAGAGACGGCGGCCTCCGTTATGTCTGCAAACGCAACAACAACTGAATAGATACATCGACCGATACTAAAGAAAGAGCACCAATGCTGAATGGTTAAAAAAAAAAAAAAGTTATCCGGAAGACAACCTCAAAGCTGAAACAGTTTATTCTTAAAATACTTTAAATTACAAAAGTGTGAAAAGTTGGGAGCTGCAAGAATGTCCAAGCAAAACATCTGGACCAAGTTTTATCCCCTGACAGCTGCTTCATTAACACAGATACTTGTGTTTTAATTCAAGGGGAATGATCTTTCCTCTTCCTCTCAGCTGTTGTGTTGATGTTTACCTTGACAAATATGTAGCCGTCCTGCACCAGGAGGGAGTTGTGGTCGATTTTGCCGAGGAACTGAGCCGTCACCATTTTGTCTGAACAGTTCTGGATCAGGCAGGTGACATACAGGTAACCTGCAACAACACACAGAAGGGGTGGGGGGGGGGGGGGGGGGGAGAACAAGAAAACAAGGATACTGTTGGTAAAATGTCAGAAAATGTTTCAGCTACATCATACTTAAATCGCTCCTTCTGGAGAAATCTACTGAAACAGTCAAAATCTTCAAGAAAGCTTTTAGTCATTTAGAGCCCAAAATATAAAAAATGAGGGCCAACCTTCAGGATTCATGCTGACATACTTCCACAAATGAAACATGAACCTGCTGTGAGTGACCTTTAATGGCCATGTAGGAAGTGGGGACAGGTAGTGAGAATAACTTCATTTTATTCTCAGTCAGTACATTTCCATAAAACAAGCCACAGACACAGACTGAGACGAGGCCGTCGACTTGGACTTGGACGAAAAGTATGGGAGAAAACCAGTGGATGTGAAAAATGGAGACATCATTTTCCAAACTCTATCAGATATGACAGCTTCCCCGCAGACATGCAGCCGCTCTCGCATCCAAATGGCCAGGAGGGATTATCCTCTCAGAGACACACGGGGAGGTTAGCGCCTGTTACAAAGCTCGCCCAGTATTCAATTTCAACCAGCTGCTGCATCAGCAACATAGCTGCTCAAATTCAGCCGTGAGTCTCTCCTCCCGGAGGTGACACACTGGCTGGGGAGAAAGTGCACACACACACGTAAACACAAGTGATGGTGAAGTGAGTGGCTGCAGCAGACATGGACCGCACATACCCACATTGGATCTGACCTTGGATTGACCGAGTGGTTCTCTTTACTCGTTTTAACTCCCACCATGAAGCCACAGCACATCTACAGATAGAACTTAAAAGCCCGCTGACTACAAACAGATGTGGCTGTGATTAGATAATTGTCATCGAGCACAGCACTGGAAACCCCGAAAGAATCCAACAGCATGTGGTCTGCAGTCCTGCGCTGGAGAAGCTCTTGGGGGAATAAATTTGCTCAGAAATCGTTACAAAAAAACTGATTACACGATTGTGTGTGAAGTTCACATTTAAGCCCACAGACTGGTGATACGAGGGGAGTTAACAAGTGTGAAAAGAGGGATTATCACATCTTTGTGGGAAGATAAATGTGTACATCTGGAGATGGATATCCACCCTTTGGGGTGAATATGCACAATCAAAGTACGTCCACTTACAGGTAGTTATAGTTTGATATAAAAAGGTCTTTCTCTGGAGGTATCCTTACTCAAATGTTAATAAAAGTTAAAGCAGGAAGAGTGGTTATCCCCTGCTCGTAGCCTGCTAGCTCTAAATTGTAACTCAGCTGAATTTACACGTTCAATACTTTCTCGCTCCATTTAAGGAGGAAGCTTTAGTTCGACTGGGGAAACTCGTATCACATTTTTTAGAGTCTGGAAAAAACAGCTTACCCTCCCCTCCTAGCTCATCATCTTTATGGATATAATGTTGAGCTCTTTCAGAATGAGAGCACAGCTACATGCACCTTCAGACGCAAAACAACTGAAACAACAAAACATTTTTTGTACATTTTGTGTTTTTTTGATTTTTTTTTCACATTTTATGTTTTACACTTTTAAATTCTATTATATATATTTTATATATTGGAATATCTTCTTATACTGTATTATTTAAGTTGTTGCTAGTTCTGCGTTATTTCCTTGTTACCGTATTTTCCGCACTATAAGGCACACTTAAAAGCCTTTAATTTTCTCAAAAAACGACAGTGCGCCTTATAATCCGGAGCGCCTTATATATGGATCAATTGGTTAATTGGTTGATCCATACTGGTTGTACACGGCGCTCAGCGACACTGACTCGGATAATGACGAGAGGGAGCCGGGCATGTTGGATGCCGTACTCGCCCAACTGTTCAATTCGGACACTGAAGAAGAAGAATTCGAGGGATTCGTGGACGGGGAATGAACTGAAAAAGTGAGCTTTACGTGTTATACGTAACTGAACAATGTTGAGTTATGCACTAACGTTTGAATTAGCGGTATCAGACTGTGTTTCTTTTACGTGTTTACAACTGAACAAGGCTGGGAGATATTGTGAATATGCACATTAACGTTTGAACAACGTTGAGTTATTGTGAATGCACTACGTATAAAACATAGTTTTATACGTATTTATATTTATATATTCACAATATCTCCCAGCCTTGTTCAGTTGTAAACACGTTCTATTTATGCGCCTTATAATCCGGTGCGCCCTATATATGAAAACAGTTCTAAAATAGGCCATTCATTGAAGGTGCGCCTTATAATCCGGTGCGCCTTATAGTGCGGAAAATACAGTAATTGTCTAGCACCAATAGACCAAGTCAAATTCCTTGTATACGTAAATGTACTTAATACAATAATGCAATAAAACCCGATTCTTATTTTGATTTTGAACTTCACAAGAAGGTGCTTATGTCTGAATATCATCAGTGCTATGATCTTTGTGGATCAGTCTTTGAGAAGGAGCAGACATTTCATGCACTCTATTCTTAGTGAATCAGGCCAGAGTCAGCTATGTTTCAAATACATTTTTTCTACTGAAGCCAAGGATGGTCCAAACCAAAAGCTGGCTCTATGAGTGTGCCTTTTCACATGTATTGTTATTTAATGGCCTTCATATGTTCTGCTACATGCTTGAAAGAGCAGCAAGTGCACAATGTTCTTTAAACTGTGAAAACACATCTCTCAAAACAGTTTTCAACCTTAGACCCTGTGTCCACCTGGTGTTTTTTCAGGGAAGAAAAGCACTGGCTGTGCGCTCGGGAGTGTTTGTACGAAGCGCTTGTGCTCCGAGAAGAAAAGTGTCTCTATGACAACAGTCTGTTGACAACGGCAGCTGTATGACCGACACTGCTCTGTTACTGTTTACTGCATTTTTTTATATTTGAGATGGTTTATTTACCAGACACAGAGCGAGGAGGATGTGGGACACGATCTGTAGGCAACAAGAATAAAAGGAATATCACATGTTTGGAAAAGAGCGCCGGTGACGTCAACAGCGCCTTTCTGAAGTCGTTGAAAAGTTTAAAGATTTTCAACTTGGGCGCTCAGAGCGGCCGCACAAAAAAATGTGTAGAGCACAGAAGAAAAGACGCTGGGCGCTGCACTTTTTCTCCAGGCCTTAAGGTCTTGGTTGGAAAATGCTATACACCTACACAGCTGCCATCTTTAAATCTGTGTGACTATCACCCGAGTCCATCCTCTTTAGTGGCTTCATGCTTTTCTTTCTTTGTCTCAGTTGAAGAGCTGTCTGGTCCAACAAATGGACTGGCTAATTTATTGAAAAGTCTGGACGTTTAATCCAAGCAGCATATGGCAAGGAACTCATTAAAAAACCATTAGACCGGGCTAAGTGTTCGATTTCAGCTTGTGGCATGCGCAGACCTGCAAACACGCTCATATTTTTCTGCGACGCAGGTGGTACGACCAAGAGAACTGTCAGAACTCAAGAAGTGTCTCATAAATAGACAAAGAAGAAGAAACCTGTGAATATTTCAACTCATTCTGCCGACTGTGCGGCTCAAATAAGATTAAGATTTCAACACTTGTGTGAGGTCTAAGGCGGCGCTCTCTACATGTCTAACACTAAAGGTGTGTGTCTCGGAGCATGAACAAGGTACGCTCACGCCCTCCTGCACATAAATCCCCATTAATGACACACACACAAACACACTCCCAGCCTCCCTGTGCACACGGCTCATCAGTCAATCGACCCCCCCCCCCCCCCCCCCATTCCTCTGGAGTCAAGTCCCTATCGTTGAGCTCCCTGCTGCTCGAGCACAGTCCCTCGCCTCTGCAGACACTCCCAAAACTCTCTGTCATTCTTCGTAGCACGCCATCGTTTAACCTTGGCGATACCACATGTGACACGGGGGGTGGGGGGGGGGCGACACAGGGCGAACAGATTGGTTGGGCACGCCTGACCGCTCCAGAACACCCCTCCTCTTACTATCTATCTATCTTTCTGGGCAGGAGAACAGGGAGAGGAAAAGGGAGGAGATGAGACGCAGGAGGGGGGGGGGACCATGTGTCGCTACACTGCCCCAGGAAGAGCTCTCGTGCCTGGGCAGTGGGCCCAGACAGACAGCCTCTGTCGTTCCACCCTCCACAAACACAGGCAGACTTGTTCCTGCTGACAGCTTTCCCTGTGCAGGCAGCATCTTTCTCTCAGCATGTGGCTTAACCCTTTAAAAATTGACCTCCAACAATGGACCTTTTCTTTTTTGTTTATGATTTTTTTTTGCCTTTATCGGAGAGTCAGGACCGTGGATAGAGTCGAAAATCAGGGAGAGAAAGTGGGGGATGACATAGGGGAGATTCAAACCCAGGCTGCTAGCTTAGAAGACTACAGAACTACTAACCACTGAGCCACCGGTGCCCAACTTCTTTTGTCTGTTTTCCAAATAAGCTTCTTGATTCCATGTACTGTATATAAATTGTGTTGTCTCTTCTCCTGAAATGTCACTGGACCATGTCTTACAAATTGATTTACTTTTTACTTTTTGGAACTATGGGGGCTCCGTAGATTTCAGATTTTTGTATTTTTTTTTGTCATAGAGATTACTTTTTTACTGACATAACCTTTAAGCTGGGTTTGTACAGATTCTAGAGATATAAATCTTTTCAGAATGTTTTTTTATTCAATCTTTATTTAACCTGGAAAGAACAACTTGTGTCCTGGCCGAGACAGGCAGGGAGAACATCTGCAGCCAGATGTGTCCGCCTCCAAGTCATTTAACATCCTCTTTAAATTGCCCAATAACAGCAGCTCCTTAAGTCAAGGCTCTTTTTGTAACTCGTTCCAAGTAACGTCAGCAGCGAACTTAAACGCAGAAATATAAACCAATGTATGCACTTGCTAGGTTGTTTACATTGCAGAGTGTAAAGGGTTAAGGAGGGGAAAAAAATGCCCTTTAATCTCTGTCACTGCTCTCTGACTCTGCCTGCTCAGGTTTATTTAGAGTGTGTGTGTGTGTGTGTGTGTGTGTGTGGGTGGGTGTGAGAGATGAGTTGAACACACACACATGCATTTACTTTCCAAACACACACTCCTGAACACACATTCCCTCTATTAGCCTCTTGGCCCTCTGTGGGGAGTTCAGCTCTAACCTGTGCGTCTGTCACTCAGCTGATATGATAATCCAGATTTGCTGTTGTCGCCCCGGGGGCCCCTGACACCGCTCCATAATTTACCCATTAATACTTCACTGACTACCTCCCCCCCGCCCCGCCCCGCCCCCGCCCCAACACACACACAAAAACAATCCCCACCAACAGGAAGGTCGACCATTCATGTCTTTAATGTGCTGCATTCACCCTGCAGGCGGAGCTAACACGACCGTGATGCTGAGAGATCTCAAACATGGCGAGTCCTTGTCAATATTGATCCAAATATCTGGCATCAAAACATACTGTCACTGATTATCTTGTAACTGTGAGCAACTTGGGGTAAAGTGTATTGCCAGAGGACACATTGAAATGTGGCTGCAGGAGCTGGGGATCGAATCCCTGACCTACAAGTTGAGAAACAACTGACTCTACCACTGAGCCACAGCCGCCCACATAGCTACATGATGGTCTGAAAATGTTACTGAGCTGAACCATATGAGTAATAAATGAAGAATGAACATCACTTTACCTCCACTTGTATCTTGCATTTCCATGTGCACCAGATCAGGGTCCACATCGACTCCAGATATCGACCTGGAACACATAAAGGCATCACTCAACATCACTCGACAGCATTTCATACGATCATGTATTTAGATACAAAACCAGTCCATGTTCCAGTCCTTCAAAAAAAAAGGCAAAACTCAGCTCTTCCTGGAAGAAGACACTCAGATGTATTCAGGCTCTTTACATGCTTTAAACCGTCAACATTTTAAGACCCCCCTTGTCCTCCTCAAAAGCCCTCTGACATATAGTACAGTACCCGTGCTCTGCGTGCCCTTCAGTGGGCCGTAAACCAAGCAGCAGAGGAGTCTGTGAAAATTCCACAGCCCAGTAAAGATAGAGTGGGGATTTAAAACCTTGTTACCTCTCCTATAAAAAGACTTTACGAGCAATTAGCGGCCATGGAGAGACCGGGGGGGGATGGATCACAGGACGAGCTACAGGAAGAAGCATGGGTCATTCTTCTTCATGTGATCTGTTTGAGCTGTTAGCCTATCAGTAAATATTCACTATTTTATCAGCTCTCATTAAACCAACAGGAAGGTGAGTCACATTTGGAGCTTCACAGGTGATAACAGTAAAAGTTAACTGATCCACTTCATATTAAATTCAGAGGTTCTGATTTTCATAGCGACTGATGAAAGTGAGGTGAATCCAGACGACCTCTCTGAGTAGTTTATAAATGTAGTGCTCATACAGCTGAGAGATCTAAAAGATGGTCAGGAAATCTTCCCTATCGAAGTAATCAGAAGGTTTAAATATCAAACTGAAATGTGGATTATCATTTCAGAGTAAAAAAACGCTTCAAATAAGCAGTGAGTACAGTATGTTATTCTTCTTTTCTCTAGTCCCTCAATTAAACAACTTTTATACGCAAGGTGATGAGCCAGCCAGCCAGAGTTATTTTCAGAGGATATTCTTGATTTCTGCTACATTTATGGGTTAGGTTTAGACCCCAGCAAACCCTTATTTTTTCAGATTCTATCACCTACATTATGGATAATATCTAAAAGATATAAGTAAATATATTATATGAGGGTTGTTTATCTTCTACAGAACCTAAAAACTGGACTTTTTCAATGAGGTATGTAAGACAAATATGAAATATCTCATCTGAAGTAATTTTATTTCAGTCAAATAAAGCTCAAATAAAGTTAAGAATCCTGATGAGTTTCTGGATCTTTAAGTACTTCTAAGTACTTCACAGTTTTCCATGTGTGTTTGTAGAAGCAGTAGTTATGATCAGTAGAGAAAATGTTTCGTTAGTCTATAAAAAAGAATATGAAAGAGTTTAGGTTTGATTCCACTGATGGGAGCAAACTGAATCTTGTTTTTTTACACGTTTGGTTTGACGAGAAGAGTGACCTCAGAAACTGTGGACGATGAGGATGAGGGAAGAAGAGAGCTACAAACTCTTCAACAGATCCGTTCATGTTGTGAAAGTGTCCTTCACTGTGACGAGGAAAACTCTGACTTCTCACTCAGTGCAGGTCACTCGGGATAAAAGTGTCAGCATGCTTGAAATGCAAATGCAAAAGATTGAAGGTGAGAGCACACTCTGCTCTGACAGTCCATCATTAATTCATTCCACTAACGCTCTGGTCTGGTTAGACCTTCATCACCGTCTAAGTGTGTGGGACTTTCTGCTGCTTCGGTTAGTAACAGACGACAGAACCGAGAGGAAATGAAACGACTGATAAACATGACAGATAAAGAGACGGCGGGGCAAACAAACAAAGAAAAGAAAAGGAGGAGGAAGCGCAACATGTTGCAAAAACATCCTGGAATTCAGTTTCATCCCGGCTCTGGTTCCCATTCCATTACGCTTTTAGCTGCGTGCTTTTCATTTTTATCGCCTCTCCTCGAACGCTTGCTTTTGTTGTCGTCCTTTTGAGATGTCGGTTCAATTTCAAAAACGGCTTTTTCTTTTCATTCAGGATGACAAACTGGAACTTTACAGCTCCCCGGATCACAAAACCAGGGTCTGCAGGAGCCCGCTTGGCTGACCACCCCAGCAGCAGCAGATTGGTTTTAATGTGATTTATGGGAGCGAGCTGCCAGACGCCAGCTCCCTGCCTGTGTTTGTGAGTGTTGGGCCACAGGTGAGGCTAAGGCCAGAGCCAACAAGCAGCTAACTCTGTATTCTCTGACCACACATGTCCACAGCACATGCATGCACAGACATGTCCAAACATTTTTAAAAGAAGAAGCCAATCAGAATATTTAAGTATGTGCAGGCCTGAATACACTACTGGGCATCGGCTGCAGGTCATTTTACCTGAGGATAATAAAAAACAGCAATACATGGCTCTATTTCATAGCATCAGGCATCAAACAGGCACTGATTAATAGTTCTAATTCTTAGATAGAGTGAAACAGACTATAAAAGATCCGCACCTTGATAAAAATTTTGATATGACTAAATCCAGATGTGAAAAGGGAACCTTGGTTCTATACCTGTGCAACTAAGACGAAAAGATTCTGTCTAATTCACAAAGCACAAACAAAGAGTTAAAGGCTTTTCCAAAGTGCTCTGCAGATCAAGCAGCATCTCTGTGTGCACTTTTGTTTGCATGTATTTAAAATGAGACGTTATGCATTTCTTTTGCAAAAAAGTTTTTATTGACAAATGAAGGTGCCATTAGAGTGCGTTACTGAACGTGCTGAGAGTTGGTGGTAATTGTGCACCTGTATTTTTAAGGATTTCATGTGCAAGCTCTGCAGTGATGATGACAACAACTCCACATTTGTAAGACCTAAGAAACAAAAGCCACATGCAGTTAGAATTTAAAAAAATTACTAACTGAGCGCTGGCAGTAATTGCGCCGCAGTATTTATAAGGGATGTCATGCAGTAACTTTTCAGTGATCATGCCAACAACTCTACATTTGTATGACCTAAGAAATAAAAAACAAGAGGCGCTATTAGCGACATGCCGCTAGAATTAAAAAAAATGATAGTCTGCTGAGAGTTGGCAGAAACTGCGCCGCAGTATTTTTAAGGGATGTCACACACAAACTTTGCATTAATCATGACAACAATTCCATGAAAAAAAGCCAATCTGCCTGGAACAGGAGGGGTTTGATCTTGAATACGATTAGCACAATATGCTTCATGATCTGGACTTTAAGATGGAGCAAATAGTGTGAGACATTGTTGTGCAATTTTGGAGCTATTTTTGTCAGCAATCCAGTCTTAGTAAATTTGAAAAGGTTGGGTAAGTCTCAACATCACTGATAAACCTCTGAGATGTTTTGTTAATGCTTCAGCTGTCAGTCTACAACTTTAGACCAATCCACAAATCCTGATTCAGTCAGAAATAAGTCCCACTAATAAATATAAACACATACTAATGCCTGCTTTGATGTGACTTTAAACCACCATTTATAAGTCATATTATTCATTTCAGGGGTCAAGCTTTGTGTTGCACATGTTTGATCGAGAGTGTTTAACTGTAGTCTAAAGTAGGAAGCCCTTAAAGCTGTTTCTCTTCCTTTCTAACCCTCCGTCTCTCTCTCTCTCTCTCTATCCTCCACCTTCTAATTTTTTACAGCCCAGAGTGTGGATGATTTGTGCGTTACAGTTGGTGGTATCAATCAGAGATGTCTGGCCGTGAGAACTAACTCATTTGCTTTCGACAGTGAGAGGAAACAAACTAACGGGAAACCTGCAAAGCCTCCCTGACCTTCAGTTTCAGAGAAAGAGTGTAGTGAAGTGAGTTTGGATGGTGAACGCCTGAATGCATCATGTCACAATAATGCAGACTGAACAGAGGGGTGAGAAGTTGAAAAAGCAGGAAGAAGTAGAAGGAGATATACAGGTGTGTTAGATAAGATGAGGAGGGGGGTGTAAATCAAAGCTTTATAACTGCACCTGCCGTGGGGACTCTTTCTGTCACTGGAACCACAAAACCATCAAGATTCATCCATAAAACGGTTCTGCTGCATAAACTCCGGCTCTTACGACTGAAATCCAATTCAAATTTTCTAATTTAAGAAAAACTGGAACAGAAGTTCCCTGTATTATGTTGAACATAAAACTGATTTATTAGTATCTGGGATGCTGTAGATAGAATTTTATTGTCGGGGAAATACAGCGTAAACGATGATGGAATGGGATCAGGATATAGTCTGAAAATAAACCAACTAATAAATCAACTCAGCAAGAGGTCCAATTTACGTTTGATGAATCTTTTAATGATACTAACTAAACAAACTACAGCTATAAATAACCTAAAGAAAAACCTTATTATGCCTGCATTACCCTATTCAAAATATTTCAACCTTTAAAGGGGACATATTATGAAAAATCCACTTCTTCAGTGTTTCTGAACATATATTTGGGTAACCTGAGTGTCTACTGACCCACAAAATGTGAAATAAACCCATCCAGTCCTTTGTTTGTGGTCTGCATAAGTCTTACAACACAGAGATAAATGCTCCGTTTCAAATTTGCTCTCCTTGTGATGTCACTGTGGGATTCTGGTAAAAACATAAAAACCCTCCCCTCCCCTGGTATCTCTACCCATGGACTCCACCCCCAGCCTAGAACAAAACTTTTGCGCAGTTCCGCCATTTTTATTCTCGCTAGCGAAGGAGTGATGTCTACCGGGAAAACTCAGGGAGGTCGTTGCATTTAAAGAGACACACACCGCAGGTCACAACTACACATTCATAAACTGATGGTAGAGGCTGCTATTTAAAGTGACCATCAGTATTAACTAATTCATTCATACACATTCACACGCCGCAGACAAAGCAGCAGGAGTAACTTAGGGTTAAGAGTCCTGCCCAAGGACACATCAGACATGTGGCTGCTGGAGCTGCTGATCGAACACCCGACCTTCCGGTTAAGAGACAACGACTTAACGAGCTGAGCCACAGCCGCCCAATACATGACGTGCAGACATTGGACTTTATTGATTCATCACTTTAAATGATGCAGTATTTCTTTCATAGCTCAGGAAACATTTCACTGACCTCAGGCTGTGAAAGTGTTTTGTACAACAGACCCAGTGAATGTGAGTTTTTACTGTATTTGGTTTGATGTGGGTTCATCCACAAGAAGTCCTCGCAGCCTCCTTAATACTATTCATGAATTCAACATTGTATACTTACAAAACGATCACTTATGTCTGCAAGGCCTCGCATATATCTATGTCACCAAGAACGCCTTGTTATGTAACATCTCTTTAACAGAGAGTAAAACTTCCTCTGCCTGCTACGCCTACTACTCTTCGATGAAGACGTCATCAGCCGAGACACTCTGAGCTCCGAGCTGAGCACATTTCCCCCTTCAATGAAACACTCACCAGAACACTCTGTCCTTGGTCACACGCTCCTGCAGCAGAGTCCACTTGCGTCCCAGGTCAGTGGATGCAAAGAGCTGCACAAAAAAAACAAAAGAAGTCCACAATTAGACAGAAAGACAAACTGAGAGCATGTAGCATTAAATTAAAGAGCGCATTAGAGCCCTATTAGCCACTGTATGCTCTCGATGGAGGATAAATGGAGGGCCTGTTCAGAAAAAAAAGTTTGTCCAATCAGGCTGCTGAATTTCACGGTTCACCGAGTTAAGACTGAGCTCAATTAATAATTAATCATAGCAGCGTTGGTGTGAGGAGGGCCCTTATATTTGATGAGCTGTGTGTTTGTAGCTGTGAGTTGCCTGAGCTTATACAGCATTGATCGCACCCATAATGAAAGACTATTGATTCCTCCCCACAAGATCAGAGATTTCTGAGGAGAACATTGGAGCTGCAAACAGGATTCAACACAAGAACTTCTACTTCTATATAAGAACTAAAAATCACAGTTTTACACACTTGAAGGCAGTATAAGAAGTCCACAATACTCCTGAGTACAGCGTTCCTTTAAAGGCCCTGACACACCAAGCAGATGGCAAAGAACTAGTGGAGACGAAGACCTTTGTCTGGGTCAAAAAGTTGCACTTGAACAAACCGCAAAGACTACAGCCGACGGCCAACCACCACGTACGTTCTGCTCATGCGTGAGAGGAAATAACTCTCCATGCCAGCAGGCGGTGGTAGTCTGTTGTTATGATACGAGAAGACCATTTTCACACCGCTGTCGGTCACCACTCGTATTATAGGTAGACTACTAATGTCTGATAAAAAGTAGAAAATGGCGCTGGTCTTCTAGTGGAAAAAGAAAAGAAGAGGCGGAGGAGACAAATAAGGAGAAACCCCACTAATGGGTGAAATCATGGATACTACAGCGGCATACTCAAGGGGCTTTACAGAACCTGAGAGGAGAGCTGGAGGGAAATGAAACCACCCAACAGCCAATCAGAGAGACTCCTCTCACCAACCGCTTACGCCGACCAATGCCGATTAAACATGTTGAATAGGCCGAAAAAAGGCAGACAAGTGGGTAGCAACAGAGCGCAAAAACTAGGGCGATGACCTCCTTGGTGTGTCAGGACCTTTTAGAGTCATCAGGAAATACTCGCCATGAATGATTGAACTCAAAGTGAACATTTGTACCTGTGACCTCGTTACAGAGCTCCCCCTGCCCTCACACGCCTTCTTAATCTACATGCAACTCAGCGTCTCCCCTCATCCTCCAGCTAAATTATTTTTTTGTTCTGTTCGAGTGGATCCCTCGCCCTCCATATGCTGCCTGCCCGTATGGAACAGATTAAAACCTAATTGAATTGCTTGTTTAATTACGTGTAAACTTATAAAGTTGAGGAGGAGTTGGGCTGACTCAAACTTACGAACCATTGAACATAATGTATGTCTTTGGCTTCTTTTCACACGAACTCACACTTCTGTGTTTGGAGGTGTGTTTGTCTGAAGGTGCAGACATGTCCTCGTAGGAATGACACACATAAACTGAACAATAAAGACGTCTCTGATGGAAAGCATCACATTTATTTTACTACTTTACCACCTGGTAGGAAACCTCTGCATCGCTCACTTAAATTTAAATGCTAGCTAATCAGTGTAAGTAAAAAAAAAACAAAAACAAAAAAAAAACATATATGGACTGAATCCTCCCAATACCTCCCAGCAACTACACATAAGTGATGCATGTGACAGCAATGTGACGTCTCGTGCATAGCCAACCTCCTGGTCCCTGGGGTCCTCTGACCAGGGTCTGCTGGTTGTTCCTCGCATGAGGCTAAAAACTAAAACGAGACTGTGCCTTTCACTTTGTGGCAGCCCTGGAACTGAGAGCCGTGAACTCTGTGGACGCTTAAGAAAAGCAGCTAAACACTCGCCTTTGTTTGATCTGTCTGTTTTTAATTTGATGTAACTGTCTGTGCTCAATCCTTAATTGTGAAGCACTTTGTGACATCTGTTCTTAAAAGGTTCTATAAAAATCAACTTTACTTACGAACTCACAATGTAAGTGCAAGTTTCAAGATTCTTTCATGCTTCTTATTTAAAGAGCCCATACTCTGCCCTTTTTGGGGTTTGTATATTTAATCTATGTTCCTACTTTTGTACGTTCACAATAGATAAAGTTCTAAAAAAGTGTCTGTTTTCATATACTGCTCCTCCTTGCTCCCTCTACGCTCTGAGTCCGTCAGCGACACTCTGTTGAGCCCACACTGTTAGACCCCACGTGGGCCAAGTCTGCTCTGATTGGTCTGCCGATCCGCTCTGTCGTTATTGGTCAGTTGCTCAGCACGCTTCTCGGAAATTTCAACATGAGCTGCAGGGCTTGCCACAACGAGCCAATGGGCTTAGATCAGTGATCTCACACTGACAATGACACCGCACTGACAAATATTTATCGGGGGGGCTAGAACCGAGCTTTACATGCAGCTAATGCTACAGCTAACAGGATGACGTAGGAGAATCTGCGTTTCTGCAGACTTTGAATTTTTGCACATAGATGTGCCTAAACATGCACAGGACACTTGGAAAACACACTAAAGGGCATATAAAAGCAGAAAAAGCAGAATATGGGACCTTTAAGCGAGCATCCAACACTTGAGTTCTGCTTTTTACGTTTCTAACAATAAATTACTTAAGTAACATTACAGTCTTTAGGCTGGTGTGTTGTTGTTCTAATGCCAGAGTTTGGAGAGGTCCTACGTTGAATGTTTTAACCACCTCCAGCTCCAGTGGAGGTCTCCGGTCTCGAGCACCTTATTCAGGGGGTTGGGGCTGAAAACTTTGGGAGCCCTTAGTCTAACTAACTGTATTCAAGGATAGAAACAGTGGGCACATATTTTCTTCTCTTTTTAGTCCAAATAATTCTGAAACTCCTGACAGTGATTTGGTGACATGTTTCAAATATGAACATCAGTATCAAAGTACGTGTTTGTATGTGGCAGCTGCTCTGTTTATATGACTTGTATATAAAGATTTGCCTCCAGCTAGTATGAAATAGTAAATCACAAAGTTTTCTCCAAAGTTGGTGTTCTGCTGCCGTGTGTGAAAAAGTGAATTTGAAGCCTTGCTGCACTGACAGCAGAGATGTCTCTCTGGTGTTTTCTTGTTTAATTTTTCAGCCTCAGAATAAGATATTTATTTCCATGCTTGTGCCTCGCTGTGATACTCACCCTGCCCTCCTTGCAGTACGCCAGGAGCTTGTCCTCCTCCTTTGGGTGGAAGACGAGCGTGTCCGGGGTGAAGGAGATGGACTGACGCTGGAACGAGGAGCCTTCGTCCGTGCTGATAAACAGCATCTGATCCCTTTCGTTTATGGAGGAGCCAACCAGCACCACCTGAGAGACAAACAAAGGAAAGAAGGTGAGAGGTGAAGGGGTCAATGGTTAATGTCCTGAAGCGTATTCATCGCTCAGTCAGCAGTGGGAGGAAGACGCAAAGAGGCTCCTCATGTCAATACTTGTGCATATTAATCCCGTGCTCGCACTGGAAAACTGATGAACATAAATACATGCACGGCCACGTGTGCACATTTATTCAAGGCCATTCTCCACGCCATGAGAACTTTCCATCAGTTGTCCACGCTGCTTAAAACGCAGTGACACTGTATTGATTATCTATTCAGCGTTTTATGGCTCATAAAGTGAAGGCATTAAACACGGTGCACATGGTGACCTGCCAAACAACCAATCACAGTTATGTCCCCCGACACCCAGAAGAAGGCCCCGATAAGGGTTATCAATAAAGACTAATGAATGAGACACACCTTTTAAGAGCCTGAGAGACACTGGGAAGTGTAAGGCCTGAGAATACTTGCTTTTAGTGTCCACCTGGCGTTTTGTCCAGGCAGAAAAGTGCTGGCTGTGAGCACTGAGAAGAAAAGTGCTACACGTCCGTCCTGTCTCTATGACAACAGTCTGTTACCAAAGGCTGCTGTATAACCGTCTGACACTGCTCCGTTACTTTTTATTGGACGTTTGATATTTTAGATTGTTTATTTCCCGATCAGATAGGGAGCGAGGAGGATGTGGGCACATGACACGATCCTTAGGCGTCAAAACTACGGGAAATATCATAGCCTCCATTTGGAAAAGAGCGCCGGCGACGTCAACAGCGTCTTTCTGAAAAGTTGAAAGCGCTCAGAGTGGCTGCACAAAAACGGCGGAGTGCTTGGAAAAAAAATGCTGGGCGCTGGTGCTTGTTTTAATATGCTCGTAATCTCGACTGCATTGGAAATTGAGGAAATCTCAGTGTGCTTTGGGGAATAAATAATGGTTTGAATTGCAAATTTTGAACATTTCTCGTGTGTGCTCTCCGATGGCTTGGGTTAAAACAAAAAGTTAATTGGGATTTTTTTTACAACGCACACAAACAGCATCTGCTGCACGCTGGGTGACAAAGCTTCCGGGCAGAGAGCCTTGAACAACGAGTTCAGGAAGATGAAGAAAGAAGTACTTGACATTCACGGTCCAGCAGATCTTTAAAAACTCAACAAGTTAAAATTAAAATATTTACCTGTTGTTATTCCTCTACTGATCTTAAGAGCCCCAAAAGCTGCCAGGACAGGCTGCAAGTCATCTTTTTTAGTACAATCCGATACATTTGACAGAAATGATTCAAGAGGATGTTTTCAGTCTCTTTAACTTCAGTGATTTCCTTCATCATTAAACATGTCTTTCCTCTCGATTGGTTCATTAGGCTTTGAATTCTCCCTCCCATAACCTTGACACTCGACACACAGCAAACACCGAGGCTGCAGCTGAGTCATTTTGTTATCATATTCAATAAATTAGAAGAATGTGACTGCACTGAGACACACACACATGCCGCTAAATAAGCACACACACACACACAAATCCTGCTCAGTATTCTGCTCATGACTGCAGTTAGTCAGCCAGCGTAGGGAGCCTCACGTCTTGCTGGCTGCTCTACTTGAGAGCTTTGAGTGTGTGTGTGTGTGTGTGTGTGTGTGTGTGTGTGTTTGTGTGTAACTTGTTCTGAACACACTACACGGTCAATTAAAGGGCCGGCGTTTGTGTATGTGTGGCTGCCAGAGGACGAGCAGAGGAGCTGGAGGAGGCACAGACGACGGTGCTTTTCCTCTTTACAATCAAATCTGTATTTTTATTTATTTGGTGAGTGTTGAGTGTTTGTTGTTAAAAGTCCAGCACGTCCACTGGAAAAGCTAAAGGTTCGATGCCTTGCTCAAGGGCACGTGAGAGGATTAACTAAAAAAAGAAGAAGAGCTCCTCCACTGGATTTAGGGATTAAACAAATATACTTCCTCTCTCATAATCCTGAATTTCTCAAATCTAAACTGCTGCTGGGCATGACTGAGCGACTGACTAAGTGTTAAGATCCAGAGTTTTTAGCAACACGTTAAAATAGCTGATTTCTGCCTCCTCAGTCTGAAACTGAGAGATTCCTGATTTAAACGATTCTCTGTGGTGCTTCCTCTTCATGTCTCTGTCAGGCAGGAGCATCAATCAGATCCATCCTGCCTCAGACTATACGTCTCTATTTTCAGGACATCAATCAGTTTGACCTGGTGGTGCTCTGACGGACATCTTGAGGACGTACACACACACACACACACACACACACACACACACACACACACACACACACAGACACACACAGCTGCCCACACAAATAACATCACCAGACGCTGGGAGAAAATGTGCAACGGACAAGAAACAAGTGGGAAAAATCCTGTTTGATTCATGTGGCATAACTGTGAGCTGAGGCTTTAAAATATTAACATAACGAGGTAATATCATAATATACTGTATAACAACGGTAACAAAGGTCAATGTGTGATGTCATAAGGTCAATGTGTGATGTCATCAGGTGGATATAACTTTGGACTCATCAGCTGAGCTGTCTGAGAGTTTGTTAAAGTGAAATGAGATATTCAAAGATGCAGCAGTGTCCTTCTTTAACATCACTGAGACTACAGGGAGACACAGGACGACTATCTACAGTGAGCTGAAGGGACAAAATACCATGAGATTAATCACGATTTAAACAATGAGAACGCATTAGTCTCTGACCTTAATGGTGATTAACTAGTTAATGCTGATAGCCCTTGTTTAATTACAACGTGAGGACATTTTGGTAAAAAGATAACATAAAAGTGCAACAAGATGATGAAATATGTAACAATAAAGGTTACCTCGCAGTGATTTCATGTTACAGTTTTAAGATTAGGTCTCAGTATGCTCTGTAATATGTTCATCTCCTCATGTTGGGGCTGAAAAACTTGCCAAAGAAAACTTCTCAGTTTCTCCAACACAAATCGTCGTGCAGTTCTCCTGAATTAAAAAAGCTGTTTTATGTAGAAACCCAAACCTACGCCTTAATGACTGACATGTTTACATGCTAATAAATGTGAAATGTGGACCCTTCAAAGACAAGCACATGTTCTTTTGAGGCTCTGGTTAGAGATGTTAGTTAATCTAATGAGTGATATTCTCTCCTCACATTGTCTCGTCTGTGATGGAGGGAAAACTCAACAGAATTTCACATTAAAAGAGTAAAAGTTTGAGAACACTCACTAGAGATGGGTGAAACAGTTTTTGTGTGTGTGTTACAAATTATGAGAAAATGCAAGCTCAGCACCCAAAACTCTGGACGTCTCTGCCAGAAGCTGTTAAAGGGGCAAACCTTGTAATCAAGCCTAAACGACCTACGTGAAAATGTCAAATCTACATAGTTGTTAAATCTTTATTAGTGTGATGCAGACTTCTACTCCACTGGAAGTCTGATCATCAATAAAGTTTCATTCATGTCTTTATTAATCAATGTAAAAATAACATGATCTGTTGAAGGCCTTCTTGTTGAAACCAGTTTGATGTTTTTACTCTAAATAGATAAATTAGGAGTTCAACATGAGCGTCAAAGTGTTTTTATTTCTGCCAGCTTTATACTGGTTATTCGTTCTTTGAAGCAGGTTATTCAAGGACTGTGATCAGCTGAAGCCAGGCTCTCAAGCAGACAGAGCTCCAACCTTCAGCAAGGTGATCTAGCACTACTACAACCCGACGTCCCTGATGCCCTCATTCCTGCACGGCCTGCTCCGACCTCCACCTCAGCAGCGAGGAAGAGTGGACAACAGGAATGAGAGCAATACAAAGAAGAAATCCTTCCTGCATGCTAGCCCATCTCCCCTTATCCCCCATTTGTACATGCTCCCTCTTAGTGGCATCATCCATAAATATTATGTCAATTTTCAGTGTTATGCCAATGACACACGACTTTACGGCCCGATTACACCTGGTGACCACCTGGTCAAATACAACTCAATGATGCAAAATCTGAAGTAATAGTCATCGTTCCCCGATCAAAGGTAAATCTTCAAAAATAAAGATTCTTCTAATTTATTTTAAGGCACAACATGGGCTGACACCTTCCTACGTATATCTCTGAGCTTTTAACCCCTTATGAACCAGTCTGAGATCCTCTAGCAGAGGCCTACTGGCTGTTCCAAGGTCCAGGCTGAAAACTAAAGGCTATTACTGTTAGAGCCCCCCGACTTTGGAACAGCCTGCCAGAGGAGATCAGACTTAGAGTCAGTCCCTCGTTTAACTTCTCAGCTTAAGACATTCTTTTACAAATAAAGCTTTCAATCTTATTCTCTGCTTTTATTGTTTGTTTTACTGTCTATCTGTTGCTTTTGACCTGCTCTTCTGTAAAGTGTCTGGAGATACCACTTGTTATGAATTGGAGCTATATACAAATAATGATTGATTGATTAATCGAATGGTTAAAAAGAAACTTAAATATATAGTTAAATGGGTTTAAAAAGGAAAGACATCTGCATAACAATGTGGGAATCTTGCATTAATTCACCCCTCTTTCTCCTGCTGCAGTGACATCACTTTCCAACAAGTGGCACTCTTGTCAAAGCGTAAGCCTTCTTCCTTTCATACTAAAGCCTCACTTGTCAGCTCACAGATAAGACTGTGATAAACTTTTTCGGGGAAGCAGAGAAGGAGGATTGTGGGAGGGCAGCCAGACTCTACAGTCCCCCTCCTGTAGCACAAGTTATGATCCCCCGCATTTAAAACACTTTGATATATTCTTCCTCCGTAGCCGCTTCCTCTGAGTAATAACTCAGCGCTGCGGAGCACAGAGCTGCTATTGTGCGCTGCAGATAAAAGCAGACTCTAAACTTCCTGTGTCTGCTCTGGAGACTGTCGTGGTGTGACACATTAAAGGGACTTATAGGAACACAACTTGGCTCCTTTTATTCCGTAAAAAGACTTAAACGCCAGTGAGACGCGCCGAGTCTGTGTGATGTTTGATAATCATTCGATCACAGTGGATCTGACGCAGA